TCTAACTCTTTATAAAACTTACTTTTACAGGCAAATTAACATGTTTTATGGATTTACAGGGTATAAATTTCCAGCGGCAAAAAGAGCTACAAGCCAGCTTTCTATGTATCTATAATTAGCCACCAGATAAATTAGGGGAGCCAAATACTCATCTAGAACATAAAACCAACAAAGAACAAATGTAAGTACATTTAAAAAAAATTTACCTTCTACCTATACAGTAGATTGATAAGTCAAAGCTAATTCCACTCATAAAATATATAAACCCAAGAGGATTCCAATGCAATGGGACATTTCTACAAAGGGTATGTTGCAGTGGTTAACATCAGGGACTCTGGAGCCATCAGGGTGCCTTATCATTGTAGGCTAATTAAGCAACAGTCCCCTCACCAGTGAAAGGGGTTTAAACTGGAAGCTACTTCGCAGAAGTATTGTGAGAAATAAATGAGATTATGTACATAAGCATTTAGTAGAATACTTGGCATGGAGTGGCAATCAATTAATGTCCATTTTGGGATTTACTTGTATTATAAAATAGTAAGACTTAATCCCTAAGCCTTAATTTAAATTCTGACTTTAAGACAGAGATGCTTTTCATGACTGGTGGTGTCAACAGTCAGGAGTTTCTAATTCTATTTCAGTTAAACGGGATGTTTTAGCTGGCCATGGCAGTGCACATCTGTAATCCCAGTACTTTCAAAGGCTGAGACAGGAGAATCTTAAGTTCAAGCACCACTTGGCCAACTTAAGAGATATCTTGTCTTAAAAAAATAAATAAAAAATTTTACAAGGGCCTGCGGATATAGCTCAGTGATAGAGTCCCCATGGCTTTGATCTCTAATACCACATACACAAAGGATATTTTATAAAAGTTTACACTACAATAAGATAAGAAATGTTTTAAATATATATTCTCTACATATACTGACTTCTTACTAACCATTTGAGATTTCTTTAAAGCCTAAACACTGTTCTCCTAAATCAGTGAGGGCGAACCTATTAGGGATCAAGTGCCCAAACTACAACCCAAAACTCACTTATTTATCACAGAGTGCCAATGCTGCAATTAAACCTGAAGACTGAGGTTTTAGTTTAGAAAAAACAACTTCTAACCTTCACATCTTTTGTCTTAAAAGAAAAACACAGTAACACACATGCCGTAGGTTCAGCACCACTGTCCCAGATAATAACAACAAAGGTAACAGTTTTCTGGTATTTGGACTTCATCTTAGCAGAATGTTTATTCTTTGCTTTCTAGCAAATTTTGAGCCATGAGCAATTCAACTGTTGCCCTTCGGTATGAGTTATAAAATGAATCTGTCTTGTACCCCTATTATATTTCTAAGCTCTTTGAGGTCAGAGATCCACATATTAATTTTCTTTTTGGTCCCACAACACCCATGTAGTAAGACCATGAGTAAACAGGTGATTAAATGATGTGGTTTCATAGTCAACATCATATAAAAGCTTTGAAATGGTAACTTCTGTTCAATACAATTCAATGTACTTTTTGATAATTTCTTAAAACTAAACATTGGCAAAAACACAAAAGGTAATTTTCTTAAGATTCGGGAATGTTAATAAATGTATATTCTTTTTGTAGTCCATTACAAAATAATCCAAACCAGTAATGAAATACAGAGAATATTAACCCAGCGAGCTGTGTGCATCATGCAAGAGACAACAGAATCTAAAGCAGACATTTTTCTAATGGCTAGTAATTATTTTTATTCATGTGATTTCTGTGACAATAATTACTAGGAAGGAGAAAGCTGACATGAAAAATTTAGCCAGAAGCTTCTATTGAGGAATATTAGGGGAAATACATAAGCATCAATTGGTGTTCCAGGTAGAATGTCTTTAAAAAACCAGCAGACATTGGGTATCAGATAGCCCATGGAAAGAGGACCAACAAAATGTATCAAGCAAAAGTCTGTATCAGCAAAATATGAAGCTTGAAACCTAGACACACAGCAACTAGCCAGGAAGCTGTGTGATAAGGCTGTATGCACAGCTAGCTCGCTCTTGAAGGGTCTCCGCTTACATCCCTCAAAGCTGGTTTTATCTCTGTCTCTTTACAGGGACATTATGAAAGAACCTTTCATTATGTGATTACAATGCAAGAGGAAAGTCAGACAAGCCACTGAATGAACACATTTTCCTCTTGCAGAAGCCGGTGAGAGCGCTCTGCTTCACAAGAAGTGATCTAAGGAAAGGATCGCTTATTTAAAGGTTCAGTAGCAAACTGTCTCATTGTTTTGTTGCCTGCGAATTTTGCTGGGATACTGGAATTAGAGAAAATTCATCTTAAAGAAAAATTAAATTAGCAGCTCAGAACAAAGGCAACACTTTGCCATGTGAACACAGGCTGGCCAGGAAAAGAGTTGGGCTCCTGTTCCAGAGCTGCCACAAACCCGCTTTGTGATCCTAGGCAGAGCAAGGAACAGAAGGGGCTTCAGTTTTCTCTTGTCCAAGACAGCTAGACCTTCCAGCTCTTGAGAGTCTGTGAGTACAGTAACGAAATCTCTGAATTATAAACAAGTACTCATTCTTCTCTCCATATAGCAACAAAAATCCCCAAACTGTAATCTCACTTCCCATTAGCTTGTTATAAACTAAACTCGTGTATATGGGACTTAAGTGGCCACCCATTCAACAAAGGCCCATAAAATCAGGATGCTAGTAGGCTATGAAACCTTCCCTGTCTTCTATACTCAAGCTGTCAAATTTTAAATTAAATAGAATTTTATTACTTTCTCAAATGTGCATGGTGAATACAGAAAAGAATCAGACTGAAAAGCAGTATTTTAGGCTATATGAACACCTGCCTCCAGCCATTAATATAAAAGTGGTTCATAGCTACTACTGGGAATATGAAATTCAAGTTTCACATTCTCCACAGTAACTAGGATACAAGTCAGGCTGCCAGTCACCTCGCTGCCTCGGTGTCTCCAGGTCTGTTGTAGTCATATTCACGAAAAGTGCTAATACTTAAATTGGTCATTCTGCCACCAGGCAATGCATGTCTAGCTTTGCCAGGACAACTGTGCCTTGGAAGGGTGTACCTAGGTGTGGCCCAGCCATTCCAATGTAAATTACATTCTTCTAGGTTATTTATACATTTAACTCTTAAAAATATTAAGTACATGAGAGTGGAAGTTTTTTTAATTCAAAAAAGCAAAGCCTTATATTTTTAAAGTAGAAATCCTATAATAATGTAAATAACACAGATCTCTTTATGGCTTTGGATTTTCATGGACTAAATGTTCCTAAACTGAGGTATTTCTTTAAAGTCAATTAAAATAAAAAAATATATAGCTTTTCATAGAGAGCAGGGTTTCAGTGTTAGAACATAGCTAACACATATACTTGTGATTCCTCATTCAGTCATTACTTTCCTTTCAAACTTAAGTATGTGAGGTTACCATGTGAACAGTGCAATGAAAAATGACTACAGCTCATTACAACAGAAACTAAGATTTCACAAAAATAGTGTTCTACTATAATGCAAGCAAACAGCCATTGGGGGAATTACTTAGTTTTAAAAACCTCATCTTTTGTTACAGTTATTATTGTTTGTTTTACAAACATCTCTTCTCTTTGTTAATTCCCAATTTTAACATTGTTATCCTACATAAGTTAAGGTCATAAAACCATAAACTTTGGATACTACATGAGATGTCAAGGCAAAATACTTTTCATAAGAATCTTTCAGGTTATTCTCAATTACAGTAAAAGTAAATGCTTTTTTTCATTTGTTTTTAAGTACAATCTAACAAACCCAAAAACTAGATGTTTTAAATTTGTCCTTGGAAAAAGAAACTGAGAAGTACATGAACTCTAGCACATGTTTACTTCGTAGCAAGAGGGTGAACATCAGTGGAATAATCACTAATTGTGACTGGATTCCTAAGCAAAGATGTTGGGACTAGCACTACAGTCAGGTCACCAGCAATGACTCCAAGTAACTCTAGGTCACTAATGCCTATTTGATTTGGAAGAGAAACATAATGATGTCCACAATGTACTGTTCGCCTTTGCCTTTCTCCCTTCCCAGCCTTGCAACAATGCAAGCCCAGCTGTTAACCAGATGCAAGCACATGAGCCACACTGTGTGAGAATAAAAATATTATTATTTCCATGAAACTAGTCACGTGGTTATTATAGGAATAATCAGCATTAGCATACTACAATATTTGTTTTATTCTTGAATGCTGTAACACCCTAGGGGAAAAATTATCTTTATTTGAAAAAGGTTAAAAATGAAAGTACATGTTATACATCTTTGCTAGAAAACTGTGGGAAATGGATTTGTTGAAACCATATGGAAAGGAAGAGGGAATCAATTAAAAACAGAAATCTAATAAATCTAAAATATTTCCAAATGAAATGCTTGTGGTAAGCTAATTTCTTGTAAACACTGCACTTGAGTCCCATGAACAGTCCCAGATGGTGAACTAACTTTGTGGTCTTAAAATAAAAGTCAGCCAAAAACACCAAAGTGACTACAATTTATTATCAAAGTAGTGGGAAATATGAGATCTGTAATCAACCAATATGTTACATTTTATTCCTTTACAAAACTTAAAGAAATTTGTGGCGCTTTACTAAATAATTTTAACTAAAATTTAAGTTCTAAATGAAGAAAAAATTAAATTGATATTATTATAGTTAAAAGTGAAGTAGGGCCAGGGATTTAGCTCAGTGGTTCCACTGCCTGCCTCAAAAGCGGAAGGTCCCGAGTTTGATTTCCGGTACCAAAAAAAAAAAAAAGTGAGGTAAAGTCTAGCTATTTACATAAAAATATTTCTAAAAATGCCAGTTTTGAAATGCTTTGCAAGGTCTAATATCCTAAATCATCATGAATGTTTTTCAGTTGACATCTATAAACTTAAATTAAAAAAAAATTCAGAACTTTTTAAAAGCTAGGCTATAAATAAAAGCTTGAGATTTATGCCTTGACCAGAAATTACACCTGATAGAATAAACATCTACATTACCTGCTCCACTGTCAATAATCCATCAGATGATTCTGGCATAGGCTGCATGGGTAGAAGCTGGCACAGGGTGCCCAAAAGTAAAGCAACTTCCTTCATGCTTCTCCAACAACATACTAGCACCATCTGAGCAGTTACATCATATGTTTTTCCTTCTTTACCTTAAAAAAAAAAACAAAAAAAACAAAAAAACTACAACATTAAAGACTCTTGATTACTCATATCCCAGGTTTCTTAGAACAAGCTTATTCATAATTTCCTTAAGAATAATCTTCCTGAACAAATCAATTTGTCATATTTTCTATTTGTTCAGGAGGAAAAAAAGCTAACATTCGTCAAGCATATGCTATAAGGAGGAATCATGCTAAGTGTTTTTCAATTTATTATTTTCAAAATAAATTTAAAAATAAAGCATACTATTACTTCAAAGCTTAATAAAACAAATTCTTTATGGCTCTGTCACCCATAAAGTATTACATGGAAAACCATACAAAATACACTTCTCATCTATTTTGATGAAGATGGCCGTTAAGGTACAGGACAGACCTTTCAAAATCAAAGGAAAATACAAATTCTCTTTTAAAATATACTTAAATCTCATCATCTATGAGCTACAATTACTCTTTTTTTTTTTTTTGGTACTGGGGATCAAACTCAGGATCTTGCACTTGCGAAGCAGGCGGTAGCACCACTGAACTAAATCCCTAGGCCCTACAATTATTTATTTACCTTTTATTCTGGTTTTAGAAGTACATTAGTACTACCGGGGATTTAGCTCAGTGGTTCCACTGCCTGCATTGCAAGCCCAAGGTCCCGAGTTTGATCCCCGGTACCAAAAAAACAAACAAAAAAAGAAGTACATTAGTACTAACACAAAAATGCAAAACAAACTATTCAATTAAAAAAATAAGTTAATGAAATAAAATTTATATTGTAACCCAATTTTTTAACAGCTCACTAAACTAAAAGAATAAACATGCATATGTATAAATACATAACACAGTATAAGTATAAAAGAATATACACTAAGGGGGAAGAAATGGAATGGGGGAAGATGTGGAAGACAACTTTGTTTTTAATACACATTGACCTGTATGTTGTTTGGATCTATTACAATAAGCACATATTTCTATGTTTTTTTATCATTTTAAAAATACAATTCCAAAGATAATATTTTACAAGACAATATCCCCATCTAGTGGAGAATATAGAGCATGTAATCACTAAGAAATTCCTGCTTGATTGTGCTTTTTTACAGTACTGTAGAAAATTCAAGAATAACAGCTAATGATAGAAGAAGGTATCAGGACATAAATTCTGGAAATTGGGTACAACAAAGTAGCTTATCTTTTACGGAGTGATAAGGTTTGCTTACTTTAAAAGGCTCCCTGACTTAAGAGTGGCCACAGTGGACAACAGTGAGTCATACCACAGCAAGAGGACAGTTACTGCCCAAACCCATCATGCGCCACGCCATGAAAGCAGGTTTAGTACTCAAAGGCTTTTTGTTGTAACACCTTATATGGCAAACTGAGGCCTATCATCTTCTGCCTAAAGTCTTATTATAAATTCATTCCTAAAACTGAATCATTCCCAAAACCACATATATAAAAAACCCTTTATTTTCTAGAAATGTTCTACACAGATTTGTAGCCTCTCATTTATTATGTGAAAGGTCATTCTATGTATTTTATAGTAGCTCAGTAGTAGTATAGTAGTGTGGCTCAGTAGTAGAACACTGGCCTGGCATGTACAAGGCCCTGGGTTCTATTCCTATCACTGGGGAAAAAAATGATTACAATGCTAATTCTATACAAGTTACCTTTGATATCTACAGAAGTATCAATATTTGACACACTGGCATTCAAGTCCTCCAAATCAAAGTTATCACATTCTCTCAGTATTTTGGCTTGGTTGAAATAATCATTAGTATCTCGTGGCTGAATCTCATTGAGAATCACTTGTAAGCGGCTTGCTGACTCTAAAGGAGAGAAATGACAGTACATGAAATCCTAGTTCCACATCACACGCTCTTAGGGGTATCTGCTCTCAAAACGCCTATAATTTTGAAAAATCTCCTGCCATTTTTATTTTACCTTGGAACTTATGATCCTGCCTCAGCCTCCCAAGTAGCTAGGTTTACAGGCATGTTCTTCCAAAAAGAAAAAAGCTATTATTATTATTATTATCATTATTTTGAGACAGGGTGTCACTATGTAGTTCAGGCTGGTCCAGAACTCACTATGTAGTCCAGCCTGGCCTCAAACTCATGGGGATCTTCCTGCCTCAGCCTCTGGAGTGCTGGGATTGCAAGCATGTGCCACAATACCCAGCTCAAAAAACAAACTTTTTTTGTTTGGGTTTTGTTTTTTGGCAGTACTGGAGATCAAACCCAGGGTATCCCTACCCCCTATTATTTTTAACATTTGATAATTAGCTCTAGTAGAAGGAACTCACAAGGTGGATAATGTACAAATTATTCATACAGGGTATTCATGTTTAAGTGTACTTTTAAATTATAGCAATTTAGATTGAAGAGATGATAAAAACACAACTGAAGTCGGGCCTGGTGGCATGCATCTGTTAATTCTAGCACTCTGGGGGGCTGAGGAAGGAGGACCACTAGTTCAAGACTCGTCTGGACAACTTAGTCAAACCCTGTCTTAAAATTTTTAAAACCTTTATAAAGGGATGGAGATATATTAAAGCTTAGTGTGAAGGCCCCAAGTTAGACCCCTAGTACCACCAAAATCAAGACAAAAAGCATACAATTGAAATCATCAATAGTACAAAGACTGCCATCTCATTTACACTGCTTTTCTTAGTGTTGTCTAAGAATATCAAATATGGTGTGTAATCATGTGAAAGGACAATCAATGTCAACAGGTCTTCTTTTAAGAAGTTGTTTCCCGGGCCGGGGATTTAGATCAGTGTTTCCGGCGCCTGCCTTGCAAGTGCAAGGTCCTGAGTTCAATCCCCGGTACCCCCTACCCCCAAAAGTTGTTTCCCTATCTATAAGTTAATGAATTTTAAAGATCAGAAGATTTTCTCTTTAAATCCTTGTTTTTCAAAACAGGAATGTCATAAAGAGTACATCTTCAGCTTTGAATGCATTATAGAATATACTGGTCTCTCGGTATGATTATAGTCCTAGTACTACGATGAACTTCGCTTTTATGAGCTCAGCCTCACTGGATGAGCGGTGTGAGCCCCACAAATGCAGCACCGCGCTCACTGCTGAGTCTGGGACAGGAACAGGTCCAAGGCACAGGCTCAGCAACATAGGTAAAGAACTGAATGGGAGGCTAAGAGACAACCAGGCTCGGATTGTTAAAAATACCAACAGGTAGTTGTGCAGAATCAATTAACAAATCAAAGGACAGGTACTGAATGTACACCCATAATTTCTACTTTAAAATATTTTAGGTACTATGGAAAATATAAAGACTCAATTTGCTATGATGATTTGACCGACATCTTATGCTCATTAATTGCTTCCTGAAATTTTGCCAAAAATAAATTTTTTCAAAAAATGGGCTGGGTGTGGTGGCGCACACCTGAAATCCCAGCACTTGGGAGGCTGTGGCAGGAGGATCACTGCAAGTTAGAGGCCAGTTTGTGTTACATAGTGAGTTCAAGGCCAGTCTGAACTATATAGCAAGACCCTGTCTCAAAAAACCAAAAATAAATAAAGATCAAAAAAGAAAAAAACAGGCAAAGACCAAGAAAAAAAATCAGAATAAAATTTGAAAAAACTGTGTTGCTCTTAGAGAAGGCTTTTCTCAAAGAATTCAGAATGCATGTCAGCTAATGAAGAAGAATGGAATATAAAAATTAAGAAAGTTTGACCCAAAGACAGTTTGTGAGACCAAATGGTATCTTAAACTCTTTAATAACAAACAATTTTAGCATACTATACAGGCTCTACCTATAACAGGTGATGTGATCTCTGATCCATAATATACTGGGACTTGCTGTTGCAAATATTAACTCTAAGACTGAATGCTCCTAATTCCCACATATTATCTAAGCAGGAATACTAAAGCACTCAAATTTAGTAGTTAGACTAACAGCAGCTTAAATAAATATAGTAACTGTATCTTAGCATCGTGAACCATTCTAACCTCCCAACTTATTTTTAATAAAGAATAAAACCTAACATTTTCTGTGCAAGACACAGGCCACTCTATCAGCCCAGGGTATTTCAGTGGATGGACAGTATGTGCTATGATATACTCAAGTGTTCTTCATACAAAGTTCTCACTTGTATTCCAAAATCCATTCACAATATGAAATGTAAATTTACTTCACTTTTTTTCCTGTGATCAATGTTCGTATATGCCTTTAACAGCCAATCTCTTTGGGCCTACACAGTGTAGATATATGTCACTAAGACATCCCAGGCACTGAGCTTAGTTTTTGTCCTTTCAGGAACAGTTCATTTGTTAATTAATTCATTAGGAACAAATATTTATCTTCTCCTACGAAGCACTGTGCTAAGCACAAAGGTAGGATCCCTGTTAAATTACAAATCCATGAAGGAAAGCTCCATGGGAAGAGGACAATAGTAAGAAACTAGAGAGAGAAAAAGGAGAAGGAGGAAGAAGGAAGAAAAAGAAGAAAGAGGTAGATAGAGAGAGAGAGAAGCAACAGAAGCAGCAGCAGCAGCACCAGCACCAACAGCAGAAGAGGAAACAGAAGCCAAACCACTATAGGACCTGGTCTGAGGTCGCCATAAAATGTTCACTAAAGGAAGGGATTAGAGTGGTCAAATGTTAAGTAAAGGCTTTGTGTGACATAAATTTTATGATTAGGAATAAAAATACTTTCAACATCGCAAGAAGGAAATGGAAGGAGAGAAGAGTACATTCAAGGAAATCAGTTGGGAGGCCCTGGAGTAATGTAAGTAAAACAAGATAAATGCTTGGAGAAGGTGAGGAGATGCAGATAAAGAGGAAAGAGATTTAAGCAATTGAAGGGTAACACTGAAAGAACACGGAGATGGGCTCGGTGTGAGAAGCAAAGAAGAGAAATCCAGCAGTCCAAGGCTCCTGTTCACATCAAGAAATCCTAAGTAAGAACATGTACAAACGGATAGGGGTCAGGAGGAAAAAGGCAGACAAAAGTTCATGAGCTCAATTTGGGACAAGTTAAGGATCCCTTCCCATTTTATTTTTCTTTCATTAAACAGTTTTGGCATTTCAAATGGCCTTTGTACACTGCAGACTGCTAGGAAGTTCCATTAGTTCCCCACCTCACTAATTTATACTGCCTACCCTCAAAGTTGCAGCAGCCTCCTGGTCAGCTATATTCTGAAATAATAATACAATAAAACCCAATTTACCTTGGGGAAGAACAGTACCTTGCTCAGGACCGGTTCTCAGGTGGATATTTTTAGCTACTTTTTTGGGGGGAGATGAATAATTAAAACTTTTTATTCTTAGGCAAGATAGTAAACAACTATATTGGCTATGTTTTAATAGTTAAAAATATTAGCAAAACAGGCTAAAATATCACAAAAAATACCCCCCCCCCATTTAGCTTTTATATCTCCCCAAAGAAATGATGAGGATGGGGGATTAGCTCAGTGGCACCAAGCCTCGAAAGCGCAAGGGCCTGAGTTCCATCCCCGGTACCAAAAAAAAAAACAAAGAAATGATGAGACAGCGATCCCTGAACATCAGCACAACAGCACTACAGGCTTCTTTGTCTGCTAACCTGAATCTGTGTCCATGGGGATGAGGCCCTCGGGGGAGGAGCTCTGAATGACCGGAGCCACCACAGCCGAAATCCTGTAGGACAGCAACAGGAGCTTCTCCACCACAGGTGTCCACTCACTCAACAGCTGCAGGCTGCTGCAATAAAGACATCAGGGACACTTATACTAAAAGCAAAAAAAAAAAATCACACTTTCAAAATGGAAATCCATAGACTGGAGGACTTGAAAGCATGTGTTTCAAAATGGTGTAAAATATGAAATATTTGAGACAGATAAATATATAAGTAGATTTTAAATCTAATTTTCGATTCTCTTTAAGCCAAGATAACATTCCTTTACTAGGACACATTTCTGTAAGAGATTAAAGCATAGGCATGAGTGTGTTATCTGAAATCAGAGACAACTGGGGATGTTCTTACTCTAGTGGTAACTTCTGCAGAGCTCTTGTTACACAGTGTACACGCCCATACATTGGGAAGGATGCTGCTGCCTGAAGCAGAGAGTTTTCAGCCTGAGACACATCTTCCTCAAGATTTTCTATCAAGCACTTGATAACTGAAAAAGCAAACAGAAATAGCACCGGTTGTAAAACACATTTATAAATTTGCAGAGAGCAAAATTTCCATGAGAACACCCAACTCCAAAGAATTTTATGAGGTTTTGAATCAGAAAGATTTTTCAAAGTTATTCAACCCATTGACTCATTTTAGTTAAGAACAACAGTTAAAGAATTCAGTGTCTTCTCTTAACTACCTATATCCACTATAGCATTCACTCTGAACCAGTCCTGGACATCTTCTAGCTGGGGCATCAAACTCCACACCCATGTGATGTGTTATTTGGCCAGAAGATGATTTTTAGTAAGTTTATTGAGATATAACTCACTATACAATTCATATACTTAAAGTGTACAATGAAGATAATGATACACAGTGTAATAACTATTATGTTAGGAAAATTTTTTTATTTTTTCATAAAACAAAAAAAAGTTTAAGTGTACAAGTCAATGGTTTTTAGTATATTCAGAGATACATGCAGACATCAGCACAATTTTAGAACACTGCCTGCATAAAAAAAACATTTACTCACTGGAAGTCACTCCCCACCTTACACCTCTACCCTCTTCCACCCTAGGAAACCACTAATCTGATTTTTGTCTCTATAGATTTGCTTATTCTGGACGTACCATACAAATGGAATTGCACAGTAAAAGGATTTTTGTGATTGGATCGCTTCACTTAGCATATAATACAGTGGTACCTTGATTCACAAAGTTGTTCTATGATTTTGGAAAACACGGCCACGTTTGTGTTTGTGTGGGCAAGATGGTCACAGTCATGTTCATCACTCAATGCAGAGTTTGCAAACAAAAAATTTTCCCACACACTTCTGTTTGGGAACCAAACTGTTTGCAAACAAAAGTGTTCCTGAATAAGGTAGCACTGCATTTTCAAAGTTAGTCCATGCTGCAGCATCTTATCAGTACTTGATTCTTTCCATGGCTGAGTAACAGTCCATTGTATGGACACACCACATTTTTATTTATCCATCCATCTGCTGATAGATACGTGGTTTCTACTTTTTGGCTATTCTGAATAATACTGCCCTAAACTTTCTTGTTCAAGCTTTTGTTTGGGCATGTTTTCTTTTCTCTGGATATATGCTTGTTAGGGACTAAACATATCCCCACCCCTAAGGTGTATGAAGGTTACACTTTCTCCACATTATCATCAATATTTGTAATTGTTTCTTTTTTTAAATTACAGCCATTCTATGAGGCACTTCTATGAAGTGTTTCCTCATTTTATGATTTTGATTTGTACTTCCCTGAAGAGTAATGATAGTGAGCATCTTTTCATGCATTTACTATTTCTTTGTGTATCTTCTTTGAAGAAATGCCTATTCAGTCTTTCTCTATTTTTTAACATGGTTATGTCTTTTTATTAGTAAGTTGTAAAAGTTCTTTCTAAAAGTGTCCCATTCTTTGGGTTCTCTTTTTACCTTCTTGGTGGCAACCTTTATTGGACAAATGCTATACATTTTGATGGAATTCAATTTATCTATAATTTTGTTTTGTTGTGTTTTGGGAGTCGTATCTGAGACAGTACAGTACTGTTTAACCCAAGGTCATGAAGACTGAGAGCCATGGTTTCTCCTAAGGGTTTCACAGCTTTGGGCCTTACATTTAAGTTTGTAGTCCATTTTGAGCTAATCTATGATATAAGGTAGTAGATCCAATCCCATTCTTTAGCATGTGGATATCTAGGCAGCCCAAAACAGAAGATGCCTCTCCTCACCCCTCTGAAGGAAAGGGCTATATTTTAAATTTTAGAATTGTGTATAACCAGTAAATTAATATGCAGAATACCTAAAACTCGTTAAAATCAACAGAAGAAAGACAAACAATTCAAAAGAAAACTGAACGAAGGACATCAACACGCATTTCATCAAAGAGGAAACATGAATGGCTTATAAACCTGTGAAAAGATAATAATGGTAACTGGAAAACTGCAAAGTGAAACCATATCATTTAATATTCTGTAAATCTTTAAAAACTGACAACAGAAAACTGTGGTGATGATGTCATACAGCACAACTCATAAATTGTTGGCGGTAGTGTACTGTGAAAACCTATTTGGCATCAGCTCATAAAACTGAAGACAGGCACTTTGACCAGGTTATTCCACTTCGTTGTTCACGAAAAACTCTTACACAATGCATTAGCAAATCTGTAGGACAATGCTCACATTCACACTACTTAGGAAAAAACCCAACCCTATCAAAAGATTAGATTAATAAATCAGTATATTATATACACTACTACTTAAATAAAATTCAAAATTATATAAAATTAAATAATACATTGTTTAGTCACATGTAGGTGGTAAAACTATAAAGAAAAACAAGATGAAAGGTTAATGTAACACACAGGATAAGATAAAGGAGAGGATTCAAAGATATGGGCACTTTTTTTTAGGAGGCAGTGTCACTATGCAGCTTAGGCTAGCCTTGAACACCTAGGCTCAAGCAATCCTCCTGCCTCAGTCTCCCAAACAGCAGACACACACACCACTGCATCTGGCTAAGTCTTTTTTTTTTTTTTTTTTTGCAGTGCTAGGGATGGAACCCAAGGGCTTTATGGATGCTAAGCATATAGTCTTACTACCAGCCTTTTCTCTACCTTTTAAGCTGAGTTTATCACCTAGTTTGTAAACAAAATTTGTGAAGTTTTCCTACTATATATGTGAATATTTCCTACTATATATTGCTTATATAATGAAGTGCTCTTTATATGTATGAAATATTTCACAGCTACATGTTTTGAATTGAAAGTCTTTCTGTGAAGCATGCATGCCCCAGTTAATGCCAGCTGCAGTCTTCTTCCTACTGTCGTCCGAGGGTCTCCTTTTGATCCCAGGCCTAAACCAATTCAAGTGGCCAAGTTTCATCCTCTATGCTATCACCTCTGCATCCCCAGAGCCATGGCCATATTCCCACCAGAACTACATATGGCCTTATACTTTTCTCCAACAACTGATTCTCTTTGTCAAGGCTTTTTATACCACATTAGAAAGAATAATTTTCAACTAACTTTCCATATCTGACCTCTCTGTTACTATAAAAGTTTGCATCTGTCCTGATATCCAGAACAATTCCAAAATGAAGATTTACTAGCATAAAATTAAGTACATACATCTCCAACAAATACTTATAGAAAATCACTAGCTAAAACATCTCAGATCCTACATTTGGGAACTGGCAATGTGGAGGTATAAAAGGAAAGGGAGTGACGAATTAAGACATAAACTCCAACAGACAAATGAACTCTGCTCTATATAAAAGTAACAAAGATGACTTATCTAGAGTCATAGTAAATTTCAGTAGGAAAAAAGTACATTTTTGGTGAAGAAAAGGGTTGTCCTCTTTTTAAAGTGTTTTATTAATGTATATGTGTGTATCTACTTATTTAACATGAATCCTCTATTGAGAAGCAAGTGTTATTGCTGACTAAACTGTTCATTTGCGTAAAAGAAACTCATGATGCTCTTCTATGCTTGCAAACTTTTAAATAAAAAAACCACAACATAAATGTTTAACTATTAGATACCAAATGAATAGTGACAGAACAGGAGATTGGTTTTTGATAAAGAAGAGCAAAAGGCCATCTCCTCAGTACAAACCCATTAATGTGTTTCTTTCCACCACAGCAGCAGGTTTATCTCCAGCACTGCATGCAGCATGCAGGGATGATGGCACAACGTCTTGCCAGATCAAGAAGTTCAGCAGGTAGGAAGCTGTTACACAGTCATATGGTTTTGTGCTTGTGCTGAGCTCCAGAGCTGCCTCGAATAAGCCTTGTAGTTTCTCAGCATCCTAGAACAGAAAACAGTCCCAGTAACTGTCACAGCAAGATTTCTGTAATTTGCAAGAATACTACATATTTAAAAACACTGCCTGTCATATAACTCTAACTCAGTATGAATATTAATTTCTTTTCTCCTTGAATAGGTTTGTGTGTATGTATTTATTTATTTAAATAGAATTTCACTATGTTGCCCATACTGGCTGTAAACTTGTGATCATCCTGTCTCAGCCTCCCAAGTAGTTGGGATATGTCTATAGATATACCCCTCCACACCCAGCCTTTAGTTTTTATTTCAGTAAGTAATGGTTATTAATCAATTTAGAGATGAAGCCCTAGAGGATAATGTAATTGGGAAATTCAACATTGATAGAGCTTATTTTTTTTTCTGGTACCAGGAATTGAACTCAGGACCTTGGGCTTGCAAGGCAGGCAGGGTGCCACTCAGTAAATACCCAGCCCTGATAGAGCTATTTTTAAAATACAGTTCCTCTTTCTTCAGCAAAAGCATACTTTTTCCTGTAGAAATTTATAGTGTCTATAACCAGACCACCTTCATTATTTCTATACAGAGTAGTTTTTTTCTCTTGTAGCTTATGTTTTACCTGGTCATCATACTGCTGCTCTTCTATTCTCTTCTCCCTTCCCATAGAACTAGTTCAACAGAGAAAATTACAAAGCCATTGAGAGGCTATGCAGGATGAACTGCATGTATATGTGTAGAAAACAAAGTGATCAATTTGCCTCTGCAATTCAGCACCTGAGCTCCCATAGGTCTATAAATATCCACTCGTATCGACTGCTCTGGCTTGTATCTAGATGCTCTCCTAAAGTTTCATGCAGTCCTAGGTGAGGCTTTTCGGAGGTGGCTGGATTGAGGGTGTGTGAATGTGGATTAATGGTGTGATACTGGGATGAGGGTGCAGATAATGGAAGCCCCACCCTGGGTATAGGTGACACCAAAAAATAAGGCTTATAGCCTGGATGGAATATAAAGGAACAGCAAGAAAGCAGGCTTTCTGCTGCTGCTCACTGCCCTCTGCCTGCCATGCCACAGACTATTTCTCCTCTGTGAAGACTCTCGGCCATGCCACCCTGCCTTGGAGCCAGCCAGCTATAAACTGAAACCTCTACAAACTGTGAGCTGAATGAAATAAACCTTTCCTCCTTTAACTTTGTGTTTTGGGTATTTTGTCCCACCAATGAGAAAAGTAACTAAGACTGTCCTAACAAAGACAGAACAAAGGACTGCTCACTCTCTCTGTTCACTGCCATAGTCATAGGAAGGCACTGCGCAGACAACAGGACACATGGTTCCCAGTCCCCACTCACCAGTTAACAAACTAGTGTTACCGCTCTGGAAATGAGGGTCTGGTTGCCCAATAATATGCTAGGGTTGGTTCATAACTGTTTAACATAAGAATAAAATCATTATAAACTTAATTTTGAAGTTGACTATATGTACACTAATATTTAATGATCCTTGACAACTTCAAAATAGTAGATATCAAATGTACTGATTTGAATATCAGTTTCTTTCAATTCAAATTCTTTGCCATTTGATATGGTTTTCTATGACCCAAAAAACTTAAAAATGGTGGCCAAAAGCTCAAATCTAAACAAATATTAGAGGGAACAAATTAAGCAACTAGGTCATTTTTTGCAACTGATAGTAAGTCCTCAAATTGGCTAACCAATTAGTAAGAAACATAATAAATAACCTTTTAAGCCTAAAATATTTTTGTTCCACCATCTTAGATCAATCAAAATACAATATAAAGACCTAGGATACGTAGAAAGAAAGGCAGTAAACTAGGTGAGTGGTAAAGTCATATATTAGAAAGATATGCTATCAAAAATATGTATTATATACAGGGTACTTAACAGTAATCAGGCGAACAGTCAAAGCATGCTTTAATGTTTACTTTTTTCAATTACACATTATACAAGGAATATCCAAAGAAAGATTTTGGAAATATATAATTAATTAATATTTTAAAATCTTGAATGTCTATTCCAATGATCATTTTACTAATATATAAGTTGGACCAGATGGTATAACTAAAATCCTATAGCATGCCCCATGTGGTACTAAAATTTCCTGAATTCTATAGTTAATATCTATCAAACAAGGGCCGGGGATTTAGCTCAGTGGTTCCGCCACCTGCCTCGCAAGCCCAAGGACCCAAGTTCGATCCCTGGTACCAAAAAAAAAAACCCCCAAAACAATATCTATCAAACAAATTATCAAAAGTAGAGATACAGAGGCCCTGAAAGAATCCTTCATAGTTTATGTAAGAACCAGGTCTTTTATATATATGCTGTAATATACCTTCGCCACTCCCAACACTCTTAAAACATTTGCCAGGAATGAGGCATAGCCATATATGGAATACAAGGCTATATGTGATGAATAGTGGAAGGTGTGGGCGTTGCTAATAAAGGAAAAAGAGTTTCTTAATGAGCACTTGAAGAACTTTCTTCTTATAGGGCACCAGGAAGACCACAGGCATAAGTAGACTTGAGAACAATTCCTAATCTGAGTACAAATCAAAAAAGACACCCTGAGATCTTGCAATGCCATAGAAGCCACAAAACAACAGTGTTTCTTCTCTGGCATGTGCTCCTACAGAATCCCACAGTGCCTACAAGCTGTCATGCCCTAACTACACACAAACAGCTAGCTCCCAGATCATAGCTCAGCCACAGCCATTGCAGGTACCCTGGGCTTCTGAAGAGCTCTCACAGAAAACAACAGACAGCTCTGGAGCCACTACTCTGCTGCTAACCCCAGAATAAGCCTCAAGAGCAGAGGTGAGAGACTGGCTAGGGGGTCCCCTGCAGACCCACCCCATAATGTGACTTCATTCCTGAGCCCATCTTTGGTTCCTACCCCAAGGTAGGGAGAACAAAGTGAGAAGAAAACTTTTGTTAACCTTATATACTCTTGAGTTTCAGTCTCAGTTTAGCTACTGCTTATTGTAAGACCAGAAAAGTGTTCTCTATTTCATTTACACTCAGGTTCCCAGTCTAATAAGCCGGAAGATTATCTGTAAAAACTCAAAATTACTGTAAGTGATGCATTTTGATCGAATATTATATGCCCAAAGGAACCGGGGAGAGCACAGTTCACTGAAATCTTACTAATAATATGGTAAACAATAAAACCTACTCCCTCCCACACCTTTTTTATCAAAGCAATAAAAAAGCACAGCTCACTGATTTGAACTTCTGTGTTCAGAAGTATTTCTTCCTTTCCCACCATATTGCAACAGTCCAGATGCATTACTAACCAAAAGAAATGGTTAAAAGGCCCAAGAAGGCAGATGCAAAGAGCCTGGATAATCTTCAGATGCTTTATTTACATATGCTAAAATAGAAAGTTTTCATATGTATATAACAGTTACATTGAAAAGTCCAAATACCTGAAATTGTACAGCTGTTACTGATAACTTCATGAGAAGATCAAATGCTAAAGTTTTCACTTCTTCAAAAGTGCTGGTAAAACATTCTATCAGTGTTTGGAAACGATCAGCATCGATATCATGACTCAGCTGATACACCACTTGGACTCTACCTAAAACAAAAGAAACAAAAATAAGATTTAAAAGTGAATTGAAGGAAAAGAAAATCAGCCTTCTATAGTTATATGGCAAACTTATAGAAAACTAATACAAATTCGTACTTCATACTTTATATTAAGACTTCATACTTTAACCACATTTCATACTTTATCCACGATAGCATAAAATTGCTTTTCTATTAATTTATTTCTTCAGATGACAAAATTAAGTACAGTATTATAAACTTCTGAACAGGAAATAAACACTTTTTAAAAATGTAAAGCGGTTTCATTCCCTTTCAAAAGATTTTACATGTACGGTTCCTAAGGTTTAAAAATAAACAAAAATAAATATACTTACGAAAGTATCTTTAAAACAAAATCTTTATAAACTTCTTGACCTAGAATCCAAAGTCCTATCTCAGAATGAGATGTATCTCACAATGAACTGACACAGAATATGTATGATCCTGTCATTTTTATGTTGTGCCAAGCTTGCCTTCCTGGGGTAAATTCTACTTGGTCATAGCGTACAATACTTTTAATGTGCTGGTGGATATAGTTCCCTAGTATTTTGTTGAGAATTTCTGGAACTGCATTAGTAAGGGGTGTTTGTCTATACTTTTCTTACAGTGTCTCTGTCTGGCTTAGCTATCCAGGTAACGAAAGCCTCACAGAATGAGTTAGATGTTCTCTCCTCAACAATGCTGTCAAAGAGTGAGGATTGGTATTAATTCTTCTTTAAATGCTTGGTAAAATTCACCAGTGAAGGCACTCATCCTGGATTTTTCTTTCTTAGGAGGCTGATTACTGATTCAATCTCTTGTTACATGTTTGCTCAAAATTTCTATTTCAACTTGAGGTGGTAATTTTCATGTTTCTAGTAACTTGCTCATTTCATGTAGATTACCTAATTTACTGGCATACAATTGTTCATTATATTGTCTTATAATCCCTTTTATTTCTGTAAGTGTAGAAACGTTTCTACTTTTGATTGTAGTTATTTGCATCTCCTTTCATTTTCCTTAGTCTAGCTTTTACTTTTATCACTTTTCTTCATCTTCAGAAAAACTTCTAATTTTGTTGATTCACTGTTTTGTTTTAATATTCTCTATTTCATTTATCTTTGTTCTAATCTTTATATTTCCTTCCTTGTGCTAGCTCGTCTTTTGTAATTTCTTGAGGTATAAAGTTAGGTTATTGATTTGAGACTTTTATTTTTAATGTAAGAATTTAAAGCACTGCTTTTACTACATACCATAAATTTTGGTACATTGTGTTTTTGCTTTTTTTTTTTTTTTGGTACCGGGGATGGAACTCTCGGGCCCTTGTGCTTGCGAGGCAAGCGGTGGAACCACTGAGCTAAATCCCCGGCCCTGTTTTTGCTTTAATTCATCTCATTTTCCAACTTCCTTTGTGATTTTTTCTTTAACCCATTCGTTAAAAGCTTTATTCAAATATAAAGCCTCTCTGATACCACTGTATGAAACAGCTAGTACTCCTCATCCTCCTAGGCACATATCTCCCCCTTGTTTTTGTGAAATATTTTTTTTCACAGAATTTATCTCCACCTGAAGTTCTATGTGTTACTTGTTAAATACTGTTTTCCTTCATTAAAACCTAAGCCCAAAAAGAAAAAGAACTTTGTCTGGTACATTATATCATCAATGGCTACTTGACATAAAACAAACACTAAATTAATATTTGCCGAACAAATCCTTTTAATTGTGGGATCCAATTTTCATCATGAATATTGTGACATTTAATCCTACATAAGAAATACACATGTGCCTTATTCTTCTTCAACTAGGATATGCTTTAGGAAAGGCAAAGAAAATTTTGACTTTTACCAAATCACAGTACTTCTATAAAAGAATATAAAATCCTCACCTTAAAGTTATTTTGATCAAGATGAAGGATAAATTTTCCATCTCATATTTCAGGCTATTTAGCCTCCTTTAAAAGTAATGGATACAGTATGGCTGCTACATTTATACTATCTGCCAGTTGATTAATATAATTACTATAACATAGCCACACCCCAATTATCTGTGTCACTCATTAAGAAGAGAACTCAAGGGCCAGGGATTTAGCTCAATGGTTCCGCCACCTGCCTCACAAGCGCAAGGACCCAAGTTCGATCCCTGGTACCAAAAAAAAAAAAAAGAGAGAGAGAGAACTCAAGTTTTTCACTTTTAATGTATATGTATTAAAATATATTAAGTTCCTCTCCTAACTGAAAAAGACCAGTCTAATTAAGCCTAAGGGATTTTTCTCTGTACACTTAGGTAAGTTACAAGTCTTAAGTAAGCTACAATGCACTAGTCTTTTTGCTAAATGAATAAAGTAATCTGTCATGCTCAGATGAAAACTTAAGTCCAGCTATAATACCACTGAAATACACCCTGAATTCATTGGTTGTGAATCCTATAACAAATCACCAAAACTTTGGTAATTTAAAAAATGCACACACACACACACACACACACACACACACACACACACACACCTATTCCCTCACAGTTCTGGAAGCCAGAAGTCCAAAATTAAGGTGTCTAGGATATCCAAAGTCTAAAACTAGGATTCTAAAGGAATCTCTTCTATCAACCATGTGGTGGCTGCTGGCATTCCATGAACTGCAGCTGTATCACTCCACTGCAGACCTCTACTGTCACAATCCCTCCTTTTCTGTCAAGTCTATTTCTGCCTCGCTCTTACAAGGGTACTTTTGATGACATTTGTGGCCCATTTAGATAATCAGATTATCCCATCTCAATATCCATAACTTGAATGTATTTGTAAAGAGTCTTTTCTCATATAAGGTGCATATTCATAGGTTCTGAGGATTTTGCAGATGTTTTGGGAAGATCATCTTAAAGCCTATAACCCTCGCCTTAAAAAGGTGATTGCATTTATCATTGTGGTCTACGGATAGCTCAGTGCAAAGGCCATGGGTTCAATCCCCAGTAGTGGGAAAAAAAGTTTATCATAGTGAATAATGGAACAAGCCAGTAACACGTACCTCCTGGTATGACAGCCTAAGAACATTGGCAATATTCCTGCCAAAAAAACAAACCTCAACCGAGACACATTCCTCAAAAACGTTAATGTCATGAAACAAAGTTCAAAATTAAAGAAAACTAAAAAGAGGCATAACATCAAAATGCAATGTGTGATCCATTCCTGGATTGTGGGAGATCTCTTTTTCCTATAATAGACCATTTGGTAGGACAAGTGTCAAAATTTGTATATGGATCAGGTATTAGACAATACTGCTATACCAACACTAAATTTCCTGAATTTGATCTTCGTGTGTTATAAAATCAATAATATACAGAGATAAAGCAAATATGGCAAAATATTAACAACTGATAAATCTATTTAGGAAGCACTTGGCTGTTCACTGAACTATTCTTGAAACTTTTGCTGTTGGATTGACTTTTTTCAAACTAAAAACCTGAAAAAAAAAGGATTTTCCTCAAATGAAGCAAGCACATATTAATAGCAACTAACTCTCCCCCTCCCATCAAAAACTTTTACTTTAACTAATAATATAAAGTGAAAAAGAACACAGCTATCCTATAAAGCTCTCTGGTCCTCCAGCCACTCCTGTTAAAAAGTAACTTAGGGTCCGTGGATTTAGCTCAGTGGTTCCAGTGCCTGCCTTGCAAGCGCAAGGTCCCAAGTTTGATCCCTGGTACCAAAAAAAAAAAAGTAACTTAGAGGGGGCTGGAGATTGAGCTCAGCGGTTTCAATGCCTGCAGCACAAGCGCAAGGACAGGAGTTCAATTCCCCGGTACCAAAAAAAAAAAATTAGTCTTTTATTTCTACATATTTTAAGTGCTTACTGCATGTGAAGCCCTGTAACATATTAGCTCTCCTTCTACTAACATTTCTACAGACTTGGCACAATTATGTTTATTTTTCAGATGAA